CATTGATTTATTCATTCTCCAATGTAGATCTATAACCCGTAGTCTGAAGGATTAAGTTACTTGCTCAGCATCACAATCAGTAGATGTTAGAGAGAGAACTTCAATTCTGGTCTTCTCTGCTTTAAGGCCAGCTGTCCATTATGTTATACTTCCTCTCTATCTTCACATAGTAGGCACTTAATAAATTTTTGTTGAATTTTGCCACAAATAAAAATGAGGAACCTCCACTTAAGTTCCTATGTAAACAATAAGTAGAACTGAAACGGTGACCTAATATTTTATTCTAATGATTTGCTTTGGTAGAATATAGCCTTAGGCCACAACTATGGAGCCCTGGAAAAATCAGATAGAGTTTTAGGAGCCATGATGTCATTATTGTGTGTACTATCTCTACTCTTACCGATTGTCACCTATATGTTGGCATAGACTTCCAAAATTCTAAGTGGCCAGGAGCACTGGAGGAAGAGGACTTCAGGGAACTTTAGATAACTGTGATTGGTTTGATTCATGGGATCTTAGATTTAGAATTAGAGGGGATTTCAGAGGCTCTCTGGTCTAACATCCTCTTTTCAAAAATGAGTAACTGGAGAGAGGTTAGTGCCTTGCCCAGGGTCACACAGGAAGTCAGCTGCAAAGGCCTGTCCCTCCAGCCAGTCAGTGCCGGAGGTTTTTGTTTTTGTTTTTGGGTTGTTTTGTTTTGTTTTGTTTTGTTTTTTACTACACTGTGTAGTGGAACAGTTTTGGGGCTAGCATCAGGGCCTGGAGGGACTTTTGTCACATTGCTCATGCAGCACAAATACTATCACCTACCCAGCTAGGTGATGAAGTGAACAGAGTGCCAGGCCTGGAGTCAGGTGACCCTGGGCAAGTCTCTTAAACCCCATTTGCCTCAGTTCCCTCGTGTGAAAAATGAGCTGGAGAAGTAAATAGCAAACCACTACACTATCTTTGCCAAGAAAACTTCAAATGAGGTCAGGAAAAGTCAGACATGACTTACCAACAACTACCCAGTTAGCCAGTCTTTTGCTTCTGGCCCAATGTATTTATACTTTCATTTTGTTTGCTTTTGGTCCAAAACTCAGATCAGTTTAGGAAATTCCCAGTGTGAAAATTCCCACTTAGAATTCTTCTGTAACCTATAGTTTTAGGGTATTACCTAAGATTGGGTGACTTACCAAAACTTGAACTCAGCTCTCCTGACACCAAGGACACTAAGCTGGGCTGCCTCTTTTGATTAGTTAGCAACAATAAATCATCACATGGATGTTGTACTTTAAGGTTTGCAAAGCCGCTTCCTCACCCCATTGCATAGAATTAGGTCTAGACATTATCTTCACCATCTTTTTCAATCTCAGATACTCATATTACATACAGCCCCATTTCCAGTTAGCTCCTAATCTCATGGTTCTGACCTTTATTAACATTTAATTAAACTTTATGTATTTGTCCCAAATGCGGATTGTACTGGCTGTGTTCGAGACCTGTGATTTGAAGTGGAGGAGGAATTGTTAAATACTTCCCTCAAAGCACAAATCATCTCCTACCAGGAAGTTTCCCCAGCTCTACCCAGACCTCCTCCCCTATCAAATTAACTAGTAATTATTTGTCTACTAAATGCTGTATAATCCAAGTAGAATGTTAGCTTCTTGAAGCCAGGGACTGTTTCTCATTTTGTCTTTATATACCCCAGTGCCAAGCACAGGGCCTTACAAAACGTGGATTGTTGAATGAGATTAAAAAGGAACGGGGAGAAAGCAAGGGTGCTAAATGAGCCGCTGAATCTTCCCCTGCAGTCACCCACCTCACTTTGATAGCACATATAGCTTCTGTTTATCACCTAGGATTTTAGGGAAGCTGGCCACATTTCCGAAAACGCATAAAGTTACCCAGAAGCTACCCCTTCCCTTCTAAAAGCCAAACAAGGAGATAAATGTGTAGCACGTGCAAATGAGAGAGCCAAGGTGCAGGGAGTGCCAAGAGAATTCGATTTAGAGTTGGAGGACATAGGTTTGAATCCTGGCCTCTGTAAATTATGAAGGGTTTCAATACTTTGAGCTCACAAGCAAACTCTGCTTTTGTCCTTTACAAGGTCTCGCCCCCGCCTCGAAATATGTGTGAGAGACACAGAGAGGCGCTGAGATGATAGAAAGACCGAGAATCCGCCTGATGAGATTTTGTTTTTTTCTAGAGTTCTTGGGAAGCCCTAGGGCACTATTGCAAAGTGGGGCTAGAACAGTCAGGTCTCCAGAGTTCCTGAAGCCAACCTAGTTTAGGGCTGCACATTCCGTAAGGTATTTAAAATAAAAGGCACCACCGTGACAGAGCACATTTTCTGCTTTTTTCAACCTAGCTCTCCACCGGGGGTCTTTACAAGTGCAAGCATCTCGGGGGGCGGGGGGGGGGGGGGAGCGGAGGGGAAGAGAAGAGGGAGAGAATATTTTCTTGCAAATTCAAAACTCAGCAGAACTTGATACTCCCCCCACTCTTACCCCACCCCGACTTAAGCACCACTTTGAGAGCGCAACAGGTCCCCCGGTTTCTTGGATGTCTCGATGGAGGTCGGCTGCAAAGCTATGTGGCCTCCTTCCCAGTCTAGTTAGGGGCAGAGGGGAAGGGCGAAGGAGTAGGGGGAGGACTTAGGCCAAGCGGCTCCTATGTTAAGTGCGAACCCCTAAAGTAGAAAAGCCCCCTCCCTGTCTCCATCTGGAGTCTAAGCAGGGTTCGGTGCACCCTGCACAGGCTGGTACGCTGTTGGAGGCGGGGGCGGCGTGGGACTGCAGAGAGAGGAGAGGAGGGGAGGGGGTCTCCGGAACCCCGGCTGGTGGTCCCCTGAAATAGGAGGCCGGGTTCCGTGACTCATCAATCATTCATGAGCCGGGGCTTCGAGGGTTGTTGTTGAGCACAGAGCGAGTAAGGGAGGCTGGTTTGTGTGCGAGCAGAGAGAGGCTCTACGCTCTCCGGGAAGAGGAAAAAGAGGAGAAGGCTGCAGCAGTAGCAGCCCTTGCTGCTGGAGGGCAGCGGGAGCCCACGACGTTGCCTTGTCCCTGGCCGCAACTGCAGCCCTCTAACTAGGTGTAAAGGGGAGTAGGAGGTAGAGAGGAGAAGCAGCCGCAAGCAGCTGCTGGGCGGTGAGTACCCTCCCCTTTAGGTCCTCTTTCCAGTAGCTGGGAAAATACCTATGGGAAGGAAGAGGGAAAGGCAGAGGGGAAAGAAAGGGGAATTAGGGTAGACTGCGTGCACTTGGAAGCCAAGGGAAGTGATGGTCCAGGGGAAGTGGGGAGGGAATGGGGTAGTGCCTCTCCCCAGCCCTGCATCCAGTGTTAGGGGTGTATGGCAGGAACTCCAGTGGGGAGAGTGGGGCTGCGGGCAAAAAGAGGCATTCAACCTCGGGAGGTGGAGGCAGGACGAGCTCGGGTATAGATTCTGGGCTGGGGCGAAGACACTGGGAATTGGCGTGAGAAGAGGGGGCGCGAACAGGGAGCAAACTTGACTTTTGCTGTAATTTTCCACAGGTTAGGGGTTTTCGTTTTACAGTGGGGCGGGTTTTAGGGGAAGAGATGTGAGGGGAAAGCGGTCTGTGTTGGGGCCGAGTTGGAGAATGCCCCCTACCCATATGTTGTGACTGTATCTGAGGTCCTTAGGGACCTCGGGCTCGCCTTCTGGGAAGCTGAGAGTTGTAGGGACGGCAGCTTGGAGTGAGGGGGTGGGGGGCATAATGGAAGACGGGCTTAAGGACTCGGGCTTCATTACTGAGGTAGAAGATGACGATCTCCTTCAGGACGAGGATTTCCCCAGGAATCTATATTGATCTTCCCTGCCTCTTTGCTTCCCCGCCGGGAATGTATGGAGATGAAGCGTTACCTAGTTTGCAGGAATGGAGAAGCAGAAATAACTAGCAGAGGGGTCACAGGAGCTCCTTTGTCCCTCCCACCCCATCGTCGCCCCCACCTCTGTGCTCCTGTGGGATTTCAGCCGAAGGCATCTTCCTGCTTATCTTTAGGACACCGCGCAGACCCTCTTAAACTGGGATCCTGCCCCGACTCTTCGGGGAGGAGGAAAGGGGAAACAGAAAGCTTTCGATGATTATTCGGTGGTGGCGAAAGCGCCGGCTTTGCCCACTGGTAGGGGGTGGAGATGGGGTGAGGGAAGGGCTGAGGGGCGAGAGGATTGGGGCACGGACCCGCGGCCAGCCCAGGCTCAGTCCCTAGACACTGGCCCCGGACAACAAAGGAGAGAAAATGGAGAGAGGAGGAGCTTGGTTTCAGCCTGGGAGTTTAGGCGCCTTTGACCACCCCCTCCTGAAACCCTTCGAGTCCGGGCTGGGCTCAGTCCTGTCCCGCTCCTGGGCAACCAGACTGTGCAGAGGGTAGAGTCCTGGGTGTGGGGGTTCTGACTGCCGTTATCCCTCCCCAGCCTGAAGAGGCTGCTGAGAGGTTACCCAAGTTACAATCAAGTTACTCCGGGTAACACCCCCGCTCCCCTTCCCCAACGCCCCCCTTCTCTTCAGCTGGTAAATTCCTAGAGTCCGGCCCTCTCTCTCTCCACCCTTTCCCTAAGCTTCCTTTGAAACTCCTTTTGTATTACATTGCTTTCGTGCACGGGAGCCGTGGAGGGGGGTGGAAAGGGGGTAGGACGGGGCGGCCGGTGTTGAGCTGGTGGGCTCTGCTACCCGCCTAGAGAATACTTAAAAAGAGAAAGGGGGTGGGGAGAAAGCCCTCTTTCTCTGCTTGTGATAGTCGGTTGCTATAGGGAGAGGTTTGGGATCTGACTCACAGACAACGTGTGTCTTTTCCATTGGGACCATTCCACCGGGTTGAACGTTTAAGGGAGTCCTATTAAGGGGCAGATAATTGATTTTTTTTAAGGCAATAAAGTGTCAAATGGGGACTACTAGGATTCTTCTGTTCTCTCCCTCCCACCTCCCACCTCCCAACCTTCTCATTGGAGTGTAAGTAAAAAACCCTTGTGGATCTGCATACATAGAAGAGAGAGGTCTGTCTTTAGTGGAAAGCAGTGCACTTGATCTAGAGGAGACCAGGGCCTGGGGACTTTAGGATTTATAGCTGGAGGGGACCTTAGAGATAATCCATCCTATCCCCCATCATTTTACAGATGAGAAACTGAAACCCAGCAAATGTGTAAGACTTGCTACAGGTGACAGAGATGTTAACTATCTCAGCCAGGTTAGGAACTGAGACCCCCAGATTTTAAATCCACTCTTATTTAGGTGCAAAAAGCTGTGAACTTAGAAGTCTTAGTTTCAGATGCCCAGATGAATTTAATTTATGTTCTTTTTGAGGCATTTTTTTTAAATGGAGGACCTCTCCCACTGTATGTGTGATAATCATATCTCTAGAGTTAGTTCTAGCCCAGACTTTGGAACAATCCATTCAAATCACCCCTGGACAAATTAATGTAAGCTCCCCGGGACTTAGTTTCTTCATCTATAAAATAAGGGGGTTGAATTAGCCGATTTCCCTTCTAACTTCCAAATTCTCTACTCATCCTCCACAAACCCTCCAGAGTCTCTCCTCTGCTTATCCCCCTGAAAACCCACCCGGCGAGAGAAGGCCAAAATTAGGCCAAGTAGCAAAGATAGAGATTGTTTGAAAGCAGTAAGTTTTATTTGAAGGACCCTTATGTGGAAGAGAGAGCAGAATGGTTCTGTTGGGCCCCACAGGGCAGATTCATGAGTGATGGGTAGAAGTCCCAAAAAGGTGGATTTAGCTTTGATGTCAAGAAAAAACCTTGGGAACAATTAAAGCTGTCCAAAAGAGGAATGGCATGCCTCCTGAGGCAGCAATTTCTCCTTCATTGGAGAGGCCCTCAAGCCGAGGCTATATTACCACTTGTCAGGTATGTTATAGTGAGAAATGCCTTTTGGCTAAGTTGGACTAGATGGTGGCTGGAGCTCCTTTGAACTGAAATGATATGTGTCAGTCCTGTGAGATTTTATTGTACTTATTCCTGGTTCCCTCTGTTCATACCTCTTCCTCTTTTCTCCCAACCTAGAAATTCAGAACCCTAAGCAAGATTATCATTCCAATAAAGCACTTCTTCTCTGTAGATATCCTGCCCCAAGGCATGATAATATGGGATAGTCACTGAGGGAGCTGTTGGAAGGGAGGAGAGCAGTTGCAAAAGTATCTGCTCTAAAGCTGTCATTAAAACCTTAGTACTGCTTTAAATCTAGTGTAGACCATAATTTGAAAGCTTAGCTGTGCACGGAACACTATTGTGGGATACCCCAAAGAATTAACATGCCCGCCCTGACTGAAGTTCTTAATCTGATTTGGAAGATAAAATAAGACATGAGAACATTGATGTGAAACAGGCTAGCCATTGGCAGAATGGTGAAGCAGCCTTACTCTTTTCTCTTCCGGTTGAGTCTTGTCAGATATTCAGGTACTCAGATGCCCCTCTCCTGAGGGGTAGTGGACTTGACTTGGATAACAAGGATTCAGATCTATGCTCTAGACCTTAACTTTGTGGCCTTGGGCCAGTGACTTTACCTAAGCCTCAATTTTCTCATTTGTAAAATGGAGTTTTGAATTAGATGACTCCTATTGTCCTTGCCAGCTCCAAGTCAATGATTTTTAAAATTCCTCCACTGTAGTACTATGTCTCTAAATCTATTTGCCCCTAGGAGCCACTGTTGTCATCTTTTCTCTCTGCTTTTACACACGGGAGTCCAAGGCCTGTAACCTTTATGCTACTGAAATCAGGTTCCACTGGCTGAGTTTGGTTTTTGCCCAGGAATCTTGTGCCTGTAATTTAGAAAGAATTGCCACCATTGGATGGTGGTGGTATCTTTTAGCTTATGATGTAGCCAATTTTGGTCAAACAATTCTCTGTCCGGTAGCAGTGTGGTACAGGAAACAAATTTAAAAAGACTAATGTTAAAGTAAGTCGGGAAAACTAGGTTGGAATTATTTATTTGGTACCTACTAAATATAGGATGCTGTATAGAAAGGTAAAGCTTTGTGGCAAAACCAAGTCTTTTCTGGATTTTTAGTGGCTCCCAAGGGAATGCTATAAGGTAGGATGACTTTTTTGAGGGATGTTTTCCAGGTGGTGCTATAAAGTGGGATGACTTTTGGGGGTGGGTTGTAGTGCTATAAGATGGGTGCCTGTGGAAGGCGGAGACTCATAGAAGAGGGGAGGAGACGTCCTTTGTATTTTCTGTTGGGTTAAACATAACTTCACTCATATTCAATGTTTTATTAACCTGGGTGTTTGCATAGGAGGTGAAGGCCATATTCTCACTGGGAAGACTCAAAACACGAACCAAATTCTGATACTCCCCAGGGAAGTCCCTGAGTGGGAGCACACACCATAACATTATATAATAAGCCCCCAAGACCGAGGTCTTTGTGAACATAAGCTTTATTTTATTTTATTTTATTTCATTTTATTTTATTTTATTTTATTTTGTGAGGCAATTGGGGTTAAGTGACTTGCCTAGGGTCACACAGCTAGCGTAGAGTATCTGAGGTTGGATTTGAACTCAGGTCCTCCTGACTCCAACCCAGTGCTCCATCCACTGCCCACCTAGTTGCCTCAAAATAAGCTTTAGTAGTGAATCACAGTATAAAATCCTGTGACAGTTATAATCCTGTGACTGTAACCTGGTTCATTTTACTCTCCTGAAACTGAACAGGTTGCAGTATACCTGAGGTGGCCTTTTATCGGGTTTCTGTTGCCCTTCCATATCATAGATTTTCTAATTGGGCAGTCGTGATTTAGATGATTTAGCATCCTAAATCTCATTTTATTTTCTGCCAGTTGCTGAAAATGAAGTAGCCTTTGTCTACCAACAAAGCATACAGTATTTTATACCACCCTGGGCCAATCACACATTTATTAATCATCTACATGTGCTAGGCATGGAGGATACAACGATGGAGAAGAAATGGCTCCTATTTTCAAAGAGCTTACCTCCTGTTGTGAGGAGGACTAGTACACAGAAAGAAAATACAAATATACAAAGTACTTTTGTGGGATATTTTTTGCTGTTGGGGTTATCAGGATCAGCCCTTTGAAGGAGATGAACCTTGAAGGACAGTACAGATTCTGCTAAACAGAACTGAATTGGGCATCTGGTACAGATATGGGGGACAGCTTGGGAAAGGATTGAGGAAAGAGATGGAATGTTAGGTGCTAGGATTAGCAGGGAAGCCAGTTTAACTGGAAAAGTGACAGTTTGACAGGAAAGTAAGGTACAGTCTTTGCCTGGGGTCAGATTGTGAAGGGCTCTAAATGCCAAATAGAAGAATTTTTGTGCCATAGATCTGTTTAGGCAACAGTGAGAGCCTCTAGCCCCTCCCTCCTGAGCAGGGAAGTGACATGGCCCGACTTCAGTTTTCAGAATATTCTTTGGCAGCTTTGTGGAGGAAAGACTAGACAGGAGAGAGACCAATTAGGAAGCTATTGTAATAAGCCTATGAGAATGGTGATTAGGCATTCAGCTTTGGTGATTGTGTTATAAGAGGTAAAACTGGAGGTAGTATCTACAAGACTTGGCAGTGGAGAGAGGGAAGAGTTGAGGATGATCTCTGGCTTGCAAACCTGGGTGACAGTAAGTATGATGGTGCCCTCAAAAGAAAGAGTGGAGTTAGGAGGAGGTGGAGGGTTTGGGGGAAAAGATAAAAGAGTTCTTTGATGTACAATGATGGGCAATGATATAGAATGGAATAAGCCCTGGCTCAGGCATCAGGGCCTGGGTTCTGGTGCTTACACTCGGTGATTTTGAGAAAGTCACTTACCCTCCCTAGGCCCCAGTTTCCTCATCTGTAAAATGAAGCTTCTGGAACCCCTTTCAGTTTTAGAGTTGTAATTCTTGGTTGAATCATGCAACTGGGACATCCACCTGGAGATAGTGAGGCAGTTGATGATGAGGGACTGGAGTTTGGGGGAGAAACTAGGGGTGTGTACAGAGGTCTAGTAAAAGTTACCTGCATAGAGATAATACTTTAACCCATAGAAACAGCTGAGAAAGAGGGGAAGTGGAAGAGAGGCAGAGGGCAAGAGAGTGAGAGAGGAGAGAGGCAGAGGGGATGAGAGAGTGAGAGAGGAGAGAGGCAGAGGGGATGAGAGAGTGAGAGAGGAGAGATGAGAAGTACACACAGGAGATGAAACATGGATGATGATGTAACAAAAGAGATACAGGGTTAGCTAGATAGGTGGGAGAACCAAGAGAGGGAAGGGAGTGTCATGAAAAACCTAGAAAGAAGAGATTGTCCAGGAGGAAGGGATGTCAGCAATGTTGTATGCTGCTGAGAGGTCAGGAAGCCTGAGGACTGAGAAGTGATTATCTGGCAATTAAGAGATCACTGGTAACCTCAGAGGCAACGGTTTTAGTTGAGTGATGAATTGGGAAACTAGAAGGCAAGAAGTGAGAGGGAGGTGAGAAAGCTCAGTTAGAAAGTACAGACGTCTTTTTTCTGGAAGATTGATTATGTAAAAAAGGTATGGATCAAATGGATCATAACCATATGCTGTAAATTTAAGGGAACTATATTCTCTTCCATTCCAGTATCTCCCCAGAAGTAGTAAACTTGAGGTCAAAGAAATGGAATCTGTGGGTTATGTTGATTCTATTTCAAAAGGGAGGTCTCCACTTCTGTCCCACTTAGACGGTCTGATGAGATTATAACTAGATACCTCCTCTCCTCCCAAGATAGTCTGATGACATGTTCTTCAGGGGAACCATAAGGATAACAAGATTCCTCCAGTTCAGACATTCTCCACCACCTGCCCAACCCCCAGATCACCTGATAGCCTATCTCTACTCAACCTTTGAAGTAAGGAATATCTTCCAGCCTTACCTCTTGATTTACTGACCTCCAGTCAAAAGGATCCGGGTAGGAGCAAGATCTCCAGGAGGATCTTAGGATCTCTCAACTGAAGAATTCCCCCACTGAGGTGAGATGGAAGACAAATGATTGAAGGGATAGGGGATTCAAGTGAAAGATTTTTTTAAAGGATGGAGATCTAGGCATATTTGTGAGCAGTTTGAAAGGGCATATAAAAGGATTCAGTGAGTAATGAGAGGTTAGAGAGAGGGAATGATTGAAGGAGCATGGGACAGAATGGGATCAAAAGAACATGTAAATGGGCTGGGATTGGCACAGAAAAGGGCCACCCCTTCCTCCATAAGAGGAACAAAGAATGAGGTATGTGTGTGTGGGGGGGGTGACGTTGAAGTGATTTGAAATGTCAAATCGGGGAATAAATGGAGCTTCCAACACATGGCCTCATCTTTCACTAGGAAGTTTGAGATGAAGTCCTTTGTCGAGAGAAAGAATGAATTGGGTGTTTGGGAGTTGGGGGAGGGGAAGAAAAGGTTTAGAGCTATCACTGAGCTTAGGGTGACTGAATCAATCAGGAAAGAGGAAAAATATTGTTGTGTACCAGTGAGATCAAATAACAGATTTGTAGTGGATGGATACAGTTGGCATTCTTCTCTGACTTCCTCCATTGGTGTTTAGAAGCTTGGAACAGGAGCAGAAAAGGAGCAGACGGGGTTTGAATAGAAATAGGACAAGGTGGCAAGTGCTTTAGCAATAGAAGACAGTATGAAGTTAAACTAGGGTCGAGATTCTGAAGAGTGGAAAGTGAGGCTGAAGCAGGGGGATGGTTTGGAAAAAACAGACTAGGGTTGGACTAACTGGAAAGTGGGGTGAAGACTGAGAATAGATGGGGCAGGTAGGTGGCACAGTGGATACAGCTCTGACCTTGGAGTCAGAAGGACCTGAGTTCAAATCCAGCCTCAGACATTTGACATTTACTAGCAGTGTGACCCTAGGCAAGTCACTTAATCCTGATTGCCTCACCCAGAAAGCAAGAGGAAAAAAAAAAGACTGAGAATAGTTTTAGGAGGGGTGAGCCACAGAGATGGATGGAAGGATAAGAAAGGAAAACATCTTACTTATAGATTGTGAAGATGGGTGCATTTAGGACAAGATCAAAGGTATGAGCATCTCTGTATATGGGGGTCAAATAAGTGAAGGTGTATAACTCATGAAAGTTAGGATGGATAAGCTAGGAAGGACAAGCATTGGAGGGGAAAACAAAATGTAAATTGAAGTGCCCAAGTGTAAAGACTGGGGCAGAGAGGAAGACCGAGCCAAATACTGAATCCCTTGAGAAAGGAGAATGACTTAAAGGCTGGTGGGGAAGAGCCCCCATGACCTGGATAGAATGATGCTCTCCATGGAGTAACACTCAAAAGAGGAAAAGGCTGCTGAAGGAAGGTGAGAAGGGGAGAGTTTGGAAGTGACAGTGAAGAACGGAGAACATGCTTCCTCTTCTGGGCCCAGCATGATCGTGTGGAGAGGAAGCTCAAGTGTAAAACAAGAGAGGTATTGGACCTGTCCTTCAAATCTAATGGGATCCTCAAATATAACAACTTTGAAATACTAACTCTGCCATTTACTGTTTGTATCACCTTGGTCTCAGTTTCCCTCATTGACAAATTAACAGAGGGGACTAGATGATCCCTGAGATCCCTTTCAACTCTAAAATTCTGTGAACTCCAGGATATAAACATTTGAATGGCTTTAATCAGGCTTAATATCAAATGTGATGTTGACGTTGTATGAAAGCCAGATTTCCCCTTAGTAATTAGGGCATTGCAATAGAAAAAGACTAGAAAACATTTGCTAACCGATAAATTCTAATTATGTCTTACTTCTGTGCCCTATATTTTCTTTCTTTCTTTCTTTTAAAATGGCTGTGGGGCCTCAGAAAACCTGAGCAGCCTAAGCAACTCTGGACCCCTGAGAGCCAGCCCCTCATTCGACCTGCCTTTTTCCCAAGGAAATAGAATGTAGACATAAGGTAGATTTGGAAACTGACAAGGAGTAAGAATGTGAAGCACTTACCCACTCTCTGGGAGAAATCAAGTGGACCTTCTGCTTGCAGTAAGGGAGCCTGCACCCGTCGGAATCCTAGAGGAAAGGCACGCCAGAGCATATTGTATGACTTCTTAACATTCCCAGAATAGACTCACAGAATGTTAGAGGCAGAGCTGGAAGGAGCTTTAGAGATCATCCTAGTTCAACCTTAGCATTTTACAGATGAAGGTGATGATTTTTTTTTTCTTCAAGGATCTGAATCCTCTCCCCCTGCCACCCCTCCTTTTACCCATCTCTCACACTATAAACTCCTGTTTGATTTCTAATGTAAAAGCATCCTGATTTTGATAGATAGCACAGACATTTAAGTGCTTTCTATGTGCTAAGTGCTGGGGGTTCAAATACAGGCCAGTCCCTGCCCTCTAGAAGCTTTTATTCTAATGGGAGAACCAACCCATGGCAGGGTACAGCTTGACGTAGAGACGCCTGGGAAATGGCATGAAGATCTGGCTCTGGGCAAGATGAGGCAAAAGCTTATCTCAGAGCAGACATCCCAGGGGTGAGGCCCAAGGTTCTGGTGGTGGGGAGATGGGGATGATGGCTGGAGTGGTATGGTGGGTAACATGCTGGATTTGGAGGCAGCACAGCCTCGCTCCATTCCTTTCTGTCACACTCACACATGATCTGTGTGACCCTGAAGTGAATCTTTTATAAACTGAGGCTACTGATAAAGGCACCTATTTCTAGGAATTGTTTTTAAGGCTCCTGAGTCTTTGCAAATCACCTGACCAACACCAAAGCCTTTGGAAATGTAAGCTATTGTTATTAATGTTTACGTTACTGGAGTCAGGTCGTCATTCTTGTACTTTAGTTGAGGGTTTCTAATTGCACCCTCACCTTTTCCTGGAGTAAGGGAAGGGTGTGAGTTGCTCTGAAAGGGGAGGGTGTGAGTGTTAAACCGTTTTTTTTTTTTTTTAATCTCTTTGCCAGGGTTGGTGTCCCGGCTCACTCCCTGGAAAGACCTCCTTCATCAGTTCAGAGCAGATGCCTACTTAATCCGGGGAGGAGGAGCAGCCCGCCTCAGAAGGCAGATGAACGCACCTGCCCATGTCACTGGCCTGCTTCACAGAAACCCATCTCTCCACCTGCTGGGAACATTTCCCAGCTTCAGAAAAAGAAGCAACCCCCCACAAACCATCCCTCATGTTATCTGAATCTTGCTAAACTATGGCTTTCGTCCTCTGCTTACTTCTGTTGTTGGTGCAGCTTGGAGGTTCTGTTTCAGAGGGGCAGTCTGCGCATAAGACAATTTTGGATCTGGGATACTTACCTGCTGGAAACTATGAGACCAACCTACATGTGGATTCTGGGCCAATTGAAATTTTGTTTCGAATTGTCCAAGCCTTCCTTTTTGTGGTACAGCCCAATCCTTTCCCTGAAGGTAAGTGAGACTAGACAAATGATTCCCCTTGTTTCATCTTTTTTTCAATCCTCTGTATTGCCAGGAGTTTATAAGCACCAGGGCACTGCAGGAAGATAGAATTGTTGGTGGACAAAAGCAAGATGAGTTGTAACCGGTTAAGTATCTTAGTTAGGAATTTGACATGGAGGAAAGAAGTAGAGTAGGGTGTTAAATCAGGATTCTGGATTTGGTTTTTTTCAGCTTGTCTTGGCTTTTTGTTGGGGAATAAATTTACTGGGAGGGGTATAGAAACTTAATAATGGATCTTCCCAAACTGCCAAAGGATTTATTATTTTTAAAGGTGAGTTCGTAATGTTATGGTGCTAGCAGTTAAAATTTAACTCCACGGACCGAATGTTAGACTTTGCTGATGGGCAAGTGGAGTCCAGGCCAACCTTGTTTAGTTGCTTAAGTATTAAATAAGACGCATAAACATGAGTTGTAAGAATTTGGGACTGTAGCTTAGTCTGGTTAACTTAGGGTGTTTGTACTTCATTTATGCACATATTAGCTGTGCCATGTTGGCTGCATCTTCTTAATCCTATCCGATTAAAATAGTTTGTGTTTATTTTTGTGGGAACAAGATTATAAAATAAAAATGGCCCCTGGGAAATATCCACACATTTATCATTAATACATTAATGTATTAATTAATGTATTATCAATACATTAATGTAGTCCACACATTAGGTGTGGAATTTACCTATATTATTGCTTGATTTTCAGGTTAGTTATCCATTTCCATTGAACTTAAAAGTTTTCTTGTAGTCATAGTGTACTTTTTTTAAAAGCAGTTTTACTGTAATTGTGGAATTGCCATAATATTTGGATTGTTTTGAGGGGTAATCATTGATGTATGCTTTGAAAGGCATTTTCATTAAATTAGGTGGAATTCCCATTTTAAAAAAGTTACATAATGCAGGTCAGCCACTTTTCATAAGAGATGTGTTTGTATGCATATATATGCACTTAGTAAACTATTATTCAGTGTTCTTTTTTTATGGAAAAGTTAAGGTTTCTTTAATTGAAAGTCACTTTTTCCCATTTCTGATTTACAAACTTTTCCACTACTTTGGTCATGCAGTGGAAATACTTTTCAGATTCAACAAAATCTGTTCAGTAATCATAATTTAGTGCCTGCTGTGTCCAGAGCCCCAGGGCTAGGTAATGTATGTGTTGGGGTGGGGGGCAGATTATATCTCACTGCTTCAAAGATGAAGTGAAGTTTGGGAATACTTGTTATTCAAGATTTAGAGTTTTAGGAAAAAGGATCACTTTGAGCCCAGTGTCCATTTTTAATTGAAAAAAGTGGGTTTTTTTTTCAGACGTTTATGTTATTACATTAATATTCAAATATAATGCTATAATCATCATCAGAAGAAATGAAAAAATTATGAATAAGAATAAATGTATATGCATAATCGTTATATGCTAACAAGTTATTTCTGTACAGTGTCTCTACCATTTTTTTTGTTTTTTTAAGTGTGAATACTGTAGATTAAGGAAATGTTAACTCTGTGTGGTGTCTATAATTTGTATCCCTTTCTTGAGGGGAAAATACGGATGCTGGGAATTTGCTAATGGAGGAAATGCATTTGCTTTATTTGAAGTTTGTAGAGCTCCCCCCCCCCAAGAATTGGTTCCTGTGTAGTATTCTTAGGCATATCATGTAATTCGCTAATCCCACAATCTTTCTTTCCATATGTTGTTCCATTTTACTGTCTCTGTTTTTAATGGGAAGGCTACTTTGTAATTTGTTTTTTAAGAGTACTGATGTTTAATTTTCAGTGAATGTGATAAAGCTTGAAGGCAGCTTTTGGGAGCCCATAAAGCTTTAGATGAACTCTGGAGCACATATAACTCGAGCCCTGCTGTTAATTAGGCTGGGGCTTCAGAAGAATTTCAATCTTAGTATATTCTGTGAGCTTTAGCCTAGTTTACTTCTTAATCTTTATCTATACTTTCGTCTTCCAGTCTCAAAGAAAGTGAGTCCCAAATGTTTTGGCAATAGACTAGAAGACTGAAGGAAAAGAGTTTGCTTAGATTGTGTTGAATAAACTCTTCTTGAAGGGATGCCCACTGAAAATAAAAAATAAAATAAAATAAAATAAAGTAGGGGCAGCTAGGTGGTGCAATGGATAGAGCACCAGCCCTGAAGTCAGGAGGACCTGAGTTCAAATTCGGCCTCAGACCAGACACTTGACACTTACTGGCTGTGTGACCCTGGGCAAGTCACTTAACCCCAATTGCCTCACCAAAAAAAAAAAAAGACATTGGTTCAAATCTTGCCTCTCTTACTTACTAGTTGTGTGATTTTGGACAAGTCATTTAAGCTCTCTGGGCCTCCTCAGTTTCCTTACCTGTAAAATGGAGATAATAATACCTGTAGTGCCTTCCTTCTAGGGTTGCTATGAGGCTCAAATGAGATAGTATGTGATAATAATAATAATAATAATAATAACAATAATAGCATTTATAGCTTTGAGAGGTTTATAAATATTTCCCATTTTAATCATCACAACAATCCTAGGAAATGAGTGCTGTTATTCCCATTTTACATATGAGGAAACTGAGGCTGAGGTCAAATGACTTGTTCATATTCAAACAAGTATGAAATTTCTTTTTTTCTTTTTTTGCTTTTGGCAAAACTGTCAGTAACTTGCCAAAGTGACTTGCCCCATGTCACACAGCTAGAAATTCCTGAAGCTAGATTTGAACTCCTCCTGGTGGGACTTGAATTCACATCTTCCTGGTTTTGAGGCAGGCACTCTATCCACTATATTGCACTGTCAACTTTTTGAGGCTTTGAAAAAGTCAGAACAGTTACTGATCTGCATAGGTAGAAGGCATTTCTTCATTGGGAGTCTACAGTGATCTCAACTCTCAATTCTAGTCTTGGAAAAAAAAAAAAAAGTCAGATCAATAGCTGGAGCTGATGCATATTGTCAAGTGCTTTATTTATCTCCCAGAATCATACAGCTGGAGATTTGCTGGGGACATTGGTCACCAAGTGGTCAAAGCATATGTCACAGGCAGTACTCACATTCCTGACCATTGGTCATAGAGGCTTTGCTTGAAGACATTCAATGAGTGGAGGAGACTCACCAGCTCCCAAAGCGACCCATGCCAATTTCTGGACAGTTCTAATTGTAAGAAAGTAGAAGTAGGGAGGTGATAACCCTACTGTACCCTACCCTTATCAGACCTCATCTGGAGTATTGCGTTCATTTCTGTATGCCATGGTTCATGAAAGACATCGATAAAATGCAGAGTATGGGGCAGGGGAAGGGAGGGACAGCTCAACCAGGTTACTCTGTTTTATGTGAGGATCCATTGAAGGAATTGAACATCTTTATAGCTTTTTGGAGGGAAGACTCAGGGACACGAGAGCTGTGTTCAAGTATCTGAAGGGTGGTCATGTGGAACAGGGATTAAATTTGTTCAGTTTGGCTCTTGCTGGGCCCAGGGGTAGAATTCAGAGCAATGGATGGAAGCTACAAAGAAGCAAGTTTAAGCTTGATATCAGGAAAAACTAGAGCTGTCCCAAAGAGGAATGAGCTCCCTCTACCTCTGGAGAGATGATGGCTTCCTCTTTGGAGGTCTTCAGAGAGGCTGGATGAACTTCTTGGCTATGTTATAGTGGGGTTCCCTTTCATGTTTATTTTGGTTTGGACAACAAAGATGGCCACTGAATTCCCTTCCAGCTCTCAAATTTCAGGAAGTTTTCCCTGACATAAAGCCTAAAGTTGACATTTTGCAGCTTCTAACCTGTTTTGTTCCTGTTTTGGCCCTTGGGACTGAACAAAAAAAGCCTAACTCCTCTTCCACATAACTGCTTTTCAAATACTTGAACACAGCCGTCAGGTCTCCCCCTTAAGCCCTTTCTTTCTCTATGTTAAACATCCCTGGTCCCTTTGGTTGACCTCCATGTGACAGGCTCAAGTCTATTCTGCATCCTTTCTATCCTATCGATGGCTTCCTAACTGCAGTGCCCAGACCTGAATTATTAAAGGTGTGATGTGGGCAAAGTATAGAGGGATTATTGCCTCCTTATTTCTGGAAGTTATGCTTTTCTTAAATGCAGCCCACACGCTGTTGACTCATGTTGGGCCTGTCATCCATTAAAGCCCCCCGGTTTTTTCCCAATAAACTGCTGTCTAACTATGTGCCTCCCCCATGCTGTACTTGTGAAACTGACATTTTGAACCTAAGTTAAAGACTTACTGAGAGAGGAAATGATTTACGACTTCACCTGAATGAATGAGAGTCCAGTTTACAGTACAGTGGTAGAATTCAGAATTTATATTCCAGGTACTCCGACTCCTAATCCAGGGCTTTTCCTAGTAGGAGATGTTACCTCCAGCAGGACAGTAAGTTACTGTGGAAAGAGGGTGAATATTTACACCGTAACAGCCTGTATCGCACAAGACAGTCTGAATAGCCATGCTATCAAATTTAGGTGATGGTGAAGAATTCTTCATAATCCATGACCCCAAATACTGCCAGATCCTTTTCTTTGTCTCTTTGTCTATCTCCCTCCTCCGTTTCTACTTAATCCTCTAATGCTATATATTTTATTTTATGCATTTAAAAATATTATAGTAGTCCATAGTCTTCACCAGACTTCAAGAGGGGACCATGATACAAAAAAAGGTTGAGAATTCCTGCCTGATGGAGTAAGATGATAAGTAGGGGTGTTGGAATAAAATATGGCCCCTGAGCTTCCAATACTTTCCTTTCAACACTGCCAGTTCCTAGCAGAGTCTGTGTGTGGGCAGTGGCTACTGGTTCCTTTCTCTCCCCACCTCCCTACAACAGCTGTCTGTTGTAGGGACAGATGCAGTCTAAGTGAGGCGTTAGGAAGCAGCATCTACAAGAAACCTACAATGATGGCAAAGAGGCAAAGACAACAAGGCTGATGAGGCCAAGGGGGTGTTAGTGTTCACTGGGGCCATGCAGGCATCTGGCTGGTACTTCTT